AGGAGCAGGGAGCCCGATGCGGGACTCGATCCCAGGACCCTGGGATCATGACCTGAGCCGAAGGCAGACGCTTAACCATCTGAGCCACCCAGGCGCCCTGGACTCCCTTTTTCCACATTCTTCCTGCTAAGATTTTGACATGCAAAGAATAGCAGCGAAGTCCCTGGAACTGGATTTTCCTTCTTATTCGCCCTCCTGGGATTCCAACTCTTCCCTTTCCCTACCAATGCCATCATTCTGGTCACACTGAAATAAACCATTTCTGTCCTTTATGTGTTGTAAATTGTCTTCATAGGGCATCTGGATTCTTCAGGTAATCTTACATGAAATGATCTTTCTTGAGTTCAGGTTCCAGCTGATCGTCGTCGTATAGATACCAGCCCAAGGAACTTCCCCAGAAGTAATCCTGTGTAACTTGATTTACTTTCAGGCATTTTATCCAGGATTATGCTATGAGATACGATTATCAGATTTACGGCATTTTAGAAATAGTAGCAGCATTGGACCAGCAAGTTGTTATCGACTTGCTTTCTACGCTCACTCAGTCTCTGAAGGATTCAGAGCGGAAATGGGGCCTTGGCAGAAATACTGCACAAAGGTATGTTTGGATCATTTGATTACATTCTTTGGGCAATGATTATAAAAATCTAGATTCGTTTTCTGGAGATGGTTTATTTTCCCATTCCTAAAAATTTGGGGTGTGTTCTTTGAATTGATGAACGTTTCCATACTATGACTGACATATCCATTCACATGCTGTTCTTTTCAAAGTGAGCACCTTAGAAAGCTATGTTTTTCAGCAGTTCCACTATTGCTCAAAACACATTCAGTGTTCATCACTGGGAAGGGGACTTTAGAGCCTCAGGTATCTTGTTTTTGTATAAAATCCATGGTGGCATATCTACCCTTTGAGGGATGCTTGATGTACTGAATCAACTATATCATGTGTATCCAGTGAGTAAGAAGAGTGACCCAATTAGATAATATGGATTTGGGTCAAAAATAGTAGTGGGGCTTTTTTTCATTTTGGGTCAAAAATAGTAGTGGGGCTTACAACCTAATTTCAGATTGTGCTGGTCTGTGTGAAATAATGCAACACCATGGAAATAAACCTGTAATTCCTAAAGAGGTTGTTTTGGAGGAGTCAGCACTCATGAGAATTCATATATTCCAAGTTTGTTAAAGAATCAAAGTACTTTAATCATATAGTTTGGGTGTGGGTACACATGTGTGTAGACAGACATTCAGGTGTGTAGACAGACTTAATTTGTAAATACTTAAATGAAAAATTATGGAAAAGTTAATAAATATACCTACCTTCTTTTCTTTTTTCTTAGGGAGGCCTATAGCAAACTTTTATCTCACCTAGGACAAGTTGGACAAGATGAAATGCAAAGACTGGAGAGTGATAATACCTAATATATTTTGTGCTTTGCCCTCTCTATTCATTATAACTATCTAAAGCCACTTTGCACAGCAATGGTATAATGTTCTGTTAAAAATACCTTCTAGGATTTTTTTCCTTACATCCCTGTAAGTATAAAGTATATAAATAAGGAAATAAAAGTTAAATAAGTGTATTATAGGATCTTTGAAAGTTGGCAAAATTGCATTCTCTTTTGAAGAGTTTTTAGTTAAACTGATTTAATTTTTTTTTTCTAACTTGGGAGTGTCTCTGTGTATGTCTGTGAAGCAGGTCTGTACTGGGTGATCCAGGGACTTGTCACTATAATGTGACTCTTTGACTTGTGAGTGATTTGTGTTTGTTTTGTTTCTTACAAGTCATGTTTTAATATGTTTTTGGGTTGTTGTGGGGTTTTTTTGTTTGTTTTTGTTTTTTGTTTTCTGTTTTTCAAATTATCTGGCTATTCTATGCTGGTTTTTGTGAAAGGGCAGTTCAGAAGATAGGATGTATGTTTGTCATCTTTTGTTAGACCATGTGTGAGGCAAGTTAATAAATACCCAGCACACTTAACTCTGAGGAAAGAGGCTGAGTCTGGCTAAATGAATATACAGATAGTACGTAAAATGTTTTAAAAACTTAAGCCAACAGTGGTTCCAACAGTTGCCAGATTTTTTTTTTTCTCTAGTCATCCTTTTTGGAAGTTTATGAAAAGACATATCAGGAGGAGGATAAGTAAGAACTTTTAAGAAAAGACCAATAATATTCTGAAAAATCTTGAGATTACAAAATAACAGAAGAGGACTGAGAAGTCAGCTGATTTAATCTCCTTGCTCTTCAGTTAGAGCCTCTTATAATTTAGCATCTTATATGTATACAGGGAACCAGTTTAGTTCCTTTAGTAGCTCTTGTGTCTCAACTCTTTAAGTAGTTCATCAGATTTTTATTTTACCAGTTGGGCTCTTGTCCTTGACTCCTTTTTGTGGTGAGCATTATTTGGTAAAAGAACTCCAGTCCTAGTGTTGGGAACCCATGTAGGTCTCAAACCCAGCTCTGCTTTGTAAACTTCAGCAAGTTACTTAACCTTCTTGTTGAGCCTCAGTTTCTCCATGGAGAAAAAAGAATAATATTCCTTTTTCTATTTCACAGTGTTCTGGTAAGAATCAGTAGAATAATGTATGTGAAAATATATTGGTGACATGTGTTCTATTTGAGGCATACAGACATGATTACTAATTATTCATGCACAAACGTAAAGAACACCTCTCAATGTTGTTCCTCTGTCTCTACTATGTCCTAGATAAATGATTCGCGTTTTTTGAAATTGTGTCTTACATGTCATGTTTGTTAACTTTGAAATATCTCTTTTCTTCTTGGGACTCTAGTCTTTATCATGCTTCTTCTGGTTCCTTCCTTTTCTGACTCAAGAAGTATCTTCCAACATGAAATATATTACAATCAGTGAACTCTAGTTAATAGTCCTAACTTTTATCTGTGAATTCTAAAGAAGTATCTGTTGTTTTTATGACATACAGATAGTCTGTCCCTTCCAACCCCAGGTCAACTGTCATATGTCAACAAATAGAATAAATAAAAGCCTCTTTAAGGTTATTTAACAGACTTCATAGCAATGAGCTTCTTTTCATTATGATAGTGACTGATTAAACTTAAATCTCTTTGCAAGTTTCAGCAAATGAAGTTTGATCTGTTTAAGGTAATGCTTTTAAAGGAGTTATTTATGTGTATATATGTATATATATATTTTTTTTATTTTCTAAGTGGGATTGATAAAATTATCTTTGAGAGTCTCACTCCTTAGAATATGAAATGTTTAAGGCTGAGAAAAGCTGCTTCTGAATCATGCATTGGGATATATATGTGTAGACGCTAAGAATAAACAGTTTGTACTTTAAAAATCAGTAACAAAAATCTGTGACAATACTTATATATGTGTATATACATGTGTGTTTATTTATATGTAAGTAAAATTTTAAAGATGCTGTTTTTTTAATTGAAGAAAAAAAATTGTTTGACTCCGTTCATTTCCAGGAAAATCTTCACGACCCATCACTTATTCCCCTAAATAACCTGTCATCTCTAGGGCCCCTGCTTCTCCCACTGTAATGTCAGCCATTCTCTTTTGCTGAAATCTCAGACTACGTTCTCCTTTCTTCTGTTCTTTGGTCTGACATTTGCATTTTTCTTTATCTTCTCAGCCCTTCCTCAGTGATACTGCTCCTTCCTACATACTGTACTTTGAAAGCACCTTCACGTTCTTTCTTGTCCCCAGTGGTAAGATCTGGCCCTTCACTCGCTCTGTCTTCTAGTAGTGAATTGATAACAACAGTAGGTCATAATTTTATCTCTAAAATCTATCTCTACTGCTAATTTCTCTCTTAACCCCTCTAGTTGGATCCTCCTGAAATCTCAAGGCAACATGTCGAGCTGCACTTGTCACCTATTTTAAACTAGCTCCTGCCTTTCTTTTCCACCCGGGGAAGACACTATTTTCCCAAGTCAGTTAGCCTTGAAACTTCAGAAGCAACTTGGATTCTTACTTGTTCCCCACTTTCAGTTGATCACCAGTATGGGCTTTTTGCTTTTCTTTTCACCATCCCGTGCATCCCAACCATCTTTTCTGTTGGGTGCTGTCAATCTCTCTTATCTCTGATCTCCTTTCCTGCAATTTAATCTCACACAGTTCTGACATTAGTGTTCCTAAAATATTACTTTCCTCTTGTTACTTTTCTACTCAAGGACATCCACTTCAGTCAGGAGACTTTCTGCCATCTGACTCTACCTTTTCTGTGCAAACCTAAGCAGGAGACTAGCTGCCTTCGAATATCTGAATGCCATGTTCATTCTACGCTCTAAGCCTCATTCAGTTTGCCAGCCTAAAATACCACCCTTTCTCTAGACACCTAACCTTAACACACTGAAATAGGAAGATACTTAAAATATATTTTAGATACGTGAGTATTCCAGTCAAATAATTTCTGTAAAATATACAGATGGAATGTAAAAGAGATGATTGAAGGACAACAGGGTGATAGAAGGACTTTATTAGACATTCAGATTTGGTTGGTTATGATTTAAATTTTAATTGAACATTTAATTAGGTTTTCATGGGGGAGTAAAAAACATGGAATATGATCTTTGTACAAAAATCATCCAGTATTGAATTCATTTGCATTAGAAGAGTTTCATACTTTAAAACTTTTATATCTTTATCTAAACCTAGCATATTTTTTCTTAAGCATATTTGACTTTTACTAGCTGGGCATCTATATATATAAAAAAATATGTATCTGTAGATTGTGTGTTCTTTACCCATTATCTTCTTCCATGCTTCATCACAAATTTTTAAAAGTACTTTCTTCTTAAAGAATTACATGTACTTTAACAGAACCTTTGACAGTTTTTATTTTTACTTCCCCTTTGTTAAGATTATCTGTTATATAAAAACTTGACAAGCTTCTGCAATTGGGAAAAGCCTCTAGGAAACCTGTCTTCCCTAAATCCTATAGACTTTATGTAAACCTTACATTTTCCAAAAACTGATCTCCTGCCTACTCCTTCTAGGGTTAAAAATACTGCCTTGTCAGTCAAGTGTATAGTATGCCAATATAAATACCATGCTTTGCTTAAAACAGTTGGTTTGGGAAGCTAGCAAAGTTAGCATATTTTTCACATATTTAATAAGATTTGTGTTTTGATTCTGTGATAATCTATATTGCTAAGGTTACCAAAGTAAGTACCTCATGATTAGAACTGAATAATATGCTTATTAAAGTTTTTGGTGTGCTAATAGTTATTCAACTTATTGCATTTGTGAATTGTGCTTTCAGAAAAATTCTGGGCGTTATTATATATTCATGTTTATAATTATGCCTATAATATATAATTTTTTAATGTATATAATTTACACTGCATCCATGATTATTCCACTTCCTTTATGACAGATTGACTATTTGAAAACCAAAATAAAAGTGAACCATGTTACCTGGAGGAATATTTCTATCTATCTTATTCCTGTTTTTATACTCTGGGGTAAAACAATAGAAAGTTTTTCAGTTATTACAATAGCTGAAAGGGATACAATATACATGTGGTTAAACTGTGAGGAAAATATGAAGCGAAAAAGCAGGAAAAATGTCCTAATCATAACCTAATAGGTATTTTGTTATGAAGGATCTAAGGAATTTCATTTCACTTTACAAAGACATTGTTTTCGAGATTAAGGTTTTGCTGGCTTTTCCTCCTACACTAAGGAACATTCTGCTATTATCTATGTGGTGCTGTGTCTTCTCTTATAAAGTCAACTCTTGAAGTGCTGTCTAAGGTGTTAGAAGTTTCATGATCTTCCAATGGAAATTCAAATTAGATACGGTCTATAATTTTAAAGAGTAAAAATGGAAGATGAATTACTATAGGATAGCCCACTTAAATGGAAAATATATATTTGAATAGTTTCAATGGAATTTGGTTTATATGACCAAACATAGCTTTCTAGAATGTTTATTAGCTCTTATTAATTTCAGGAAAATGATCTAATCATAAGTGTTCTGTATTTTATTTTTCCTTGGAGAGGAATGTTGCACTTTGGATTCTATTCTCTGGCTACAGCATAAAAGAGGTTTTCAAAAACTAAAATTTTCTGAGTTCAGTTCTGTAATATTAGTGAATAACACATTATCACCAAGAAGGGGTTTGCTAATATGCCAATTTGTTTTAAATGAATACTTAGAAATCTATATAGAAAATATCAGTAATCTCAGGTTGCCTTTTCATGATCAGTCAGGCAAGCTTATTTTTAGACCATTTCCCTTTCATTCATTGGATATAGGATCTGGGATTACAAGTGTAATGGTTTTTATAAGGTAAAAACAGCTGGAAGTAAATTCATTTGTCAAGTAGAAATTTTAGTAAATCTGATACTTCTTGCTTAGGTTCTTGTTGAAAGCTATCTCAAATACTGGAGTCATTTTCTTGACTTGGTAAGGCATTTAAAATGTTTAGTTTACATGATTTATACCCTTTAAAGAGACTCTTTCTTTGATATCAATGATCAGTATCAATTTGCACTTTTCAGAACTGTAAAATTAAGATTTTTTTGGCTAAATCTCTGGGAGGTTTTTTATTTTTTTCCTTACCTCCGTCTCTCCTCCTGTTCTTTAATCTGAATAACCAGATTATTTGGAAATTAAAATTGTTAGGTATAACAGTGTATAAAGTTAGTGAATTTTGTATTTAGGATTAAAAAGGGTTTATGTTTTTATTCACTTCTGATTACTGAAAGTGGTTCCATGAATAAAATGACAGTTTCCTATAAAATAAAGATTGCTGAATAATTAAACTATGCTGAAGGAAAAAAAGTGTATAGTCTCCCTTTTAGTAAAGGTGACTTAGATCCTAACAAGATTCAGAAAAGGGAAAAACTCATGTTACACTTCTTGAATTTATGTTCAAATGTGATTTTTATTTTATATATATTTTTTTGCTATAGACAAAGCAAATCCAAAAATCTCACCTATATAAGAATTCTTATGCATTATTAAAAGTTTGTAATAATAAAATATGTATTGGTGGTGGAAAAGAATCCCACAAGTGCTCAAGATTGACATAACCTTTAACAAAGTGGAAAAAACTTTTATTAGAATTACTAAGTCTAGGTTCAGATTTATGTCAGAGCACTTTATGGTGCCAAAATTAGTACCACTAATTTTTCTTGAGCTTAAATGTCATTTTTCACTAAATGAGTTTAAACGAGAGGTTTAAATTATTTGAAGCAAGAATTTGTACAGACTTGGGAATCTTTGGCTTTGGTAAACTCCCCTTTTCCTAATTAGCATATCTTTCACATGCTTTTCAGAATCATTTATCCCATAGTATGTGTTTCAAGTTCTATTTAGTAATTATTTAATTTCAAAAATAACCTCCCTTTCAGTTACAAGGTTCTTAAACACAGTAAAATACCTTGTAATTTGAGTAACTTTTTTCTTCTTAAGCAAAGTACTTAGCATTTGCCTAATTTTCACAAAATTCTTCTGAATTAATATGGAAACCAATAATTATACTCCTTAAAAATTAGTGGGAAAACAAGTACTGAAAGGTAAGCACCTAACACAGGGTCACAGATTAACCAAGCCAAAAAATATGGGTATTCTAACTGCTCTTCTGGTGTACTTCTATTATTTGTATTACCTTGAATAAAATATGGCATTGAAAATTTTATAATGTCATAATGCTGAGTCTATACCGAGTGGGGTGGCATGTTAAATTTTTAAAAGAAAAATTACAAACCCAGGTTTAAGTAGTAATGGAATTAACTACTGAATATTTTTTTTAAAGACCATTGACGACAGTACTTGTGAAATAAATTCCTTACTAACATTGTCCTGTTTTCCTAGACAGCACTGATTTAGAAAAAGTATACAAGAAGACTCTAAAGACCCATGGAACAATTAGGGACCATTAAGTTGGTACTAAGCTACACCACAGTAAAAGTCCTATATATTGTATATTGACACACAAAGAGAAAGGTGACAGGAGTTTTCAGTAATGTATTTTAGAAAACTGTTCGTTTTTTGCTAATGTTTATCTGAATATAAGACATACAAAACAAGGAAGCATTGACCACTGAGTCTTTTCATGCCCAGTATCCAAAAGTGAAGCTTTTCTTTCCCTTCTGTTCATGATAGTTATTAACAAAGCATTGCCTTTCAGATGGTCCCGATTCTGTGATGAGGCACTTGAAGAGTCTGAAGGTTAGGGCATGTGAAATAGGGAGCTGGAAGAAAGCATGCAGCTATTCCATTGGAAGCAAAAGGGAGTGTAGGCCCATAGAATACTTCTTCTTTGCCTTCTCTACTTACATCCACTACCTACAAAAGAAGAGAAGCCTGTATGTCAAAGATTATTGTTCAATATAATATGAGCAAAAATATATAAGTATATACATAAAAGGAGGCCTACAGTTGAATTCAGTTATGCCACCATGACCATACGTACCTTAGGCATTGGGTTTTTTCCCCCTCACAGTATGGTACCAGAAATATGTCTGAAGGTCCAGGTGCTACTATATGCATTTGTATATTTGGGTGTCTACATATATACATAGATATATGTTTATAATTAATCTTAACAGTGATGAGGTAGGTAGCTTTATCCTCCTTTAATATAAAGGTCTTGTGGCTTTAAACACATTACACCAGATGGACCTAACTTATCCATCCCAAAACAGTGGAATACACATTATTTAAGTGTACATGGAATATTCTCCAGGATAGATCATATATTACGCCACAAACAAATCTCAATAAATTTAAGAAGACTTTCTGAAATCGTATCAAGCATCTTTTCTAACCACAACAGTACCTAGAAATAAGTTACAAGGACTGGAAAACAAAAATAAAACACAAATACAGAGGCTCAACAACATGGTATTAAGCCAATGAGTCAATGAAAAAAAAAAGTCAAAAAACTTCATGGAGAAAAATGTAAATGAAAACATTATGGTACAAAATCTTTGGGACACAGCAAAAGCAGTTCTAACAGGGAAGTTTATAGCAATCAAGCAACAAGAGAAATCTCAACCTAACCTTACACCTAAAGGATCTAGAAAAAGAAAGCCCAAAGCTAGTAGAAGGAAGCAAAGAATAAAGATTAGAGTGGAAATAAACTAAAAAAAAAAACAGTAAAAGCAAGAGCTGATTAATGAAAAGATAAGCAAAACTGATAAACCTTTACCCAGACACATCAAGACCTAAATAAATCTGGAATGAAGAAAAATAACAAACACCACAGATATACAAAGGATTGCAAGAAACTACTATGAAAAATATTACGCCAACAAATTGGACAACATGGAAGAAATGGATAAATTCCTAGAGACATACAATCTTCTAAAACTAAGGGAGAAAACATGAACTGACTGATTACCCATTCAATTTCATTATTAGTAATCAACTACCAACAAAAACCCAGGACCAGATGGCTTTATAAGTGAATTCAACAAACATTTAAACAAGAGTTAACACCTGTTCTCAAACTATTCCACAAATAAAGAGGAAGGAAAATACCCAATGTATTCTGTGAGGCAAGTATTAGCCTGATACCAAAACCAAAGACATTACAAAAAAAAAAAAAACTACAGAACAACATATCTGATGAACATAGATGCAAAAAAATGCTGAATATTAGCAAACTGAATCCACCAATACATTAAAAAATGACCATGATCAAGTGGGATTTATTCTAGGAATAAAGTGTTTCAATACTCACAAGTAAATCAATGTGATATATCACATTAAGAGGAAAGACTAAAAACCATATGATCACCTCAAGAGATGCAGAAAAAGCATTTGACAAAATGCAACATCCATTCACGATAACAAATTGGGTTTAGAGAGAACATACCTCAACATGATAAACCAAATATGAAAAACCCACAACCAACATCATACTGAAAAGTGAAAAACTGAAAGCTTTCCCCTTAAGACCAGGAACAAGATGAGGATCCACTCTTGCCACTTTTCAACATAATACTGGACATCCTAGCTGTAGCAATCAGAAAAGAAAAAGGGAAGGCCTCCAAATTAGTAAGAAGATAAACTATCATAATTTGCAGATATATATTTTCTAATTATAGAAAACCCAAAAGACTCCACCAAAGAACAGATAAATTAATTCAGTAAAGTTGCAGTGTACAAAATTAATATACAGAAATGTGTTACATTTCTATATACTAATAATGCAGTAGCAGAAAGAGAAATTTAAAAATCCCATTGGAGAGTAGTGCAAGATGATGGCTTAGGAAGACTATGAACTCACCTCCTTCACAGACACACCAAATATAAACCTATTTGTGGAGCAATTCCTCCTGAAGGAGAAGTGAGAGCTGACTGAACAGCTTCTGCACAAAAGATAGACCACATAACTGCAAGAGAGATGGAAACATATTAATGAAGATAACCCAGTCCCAACAGTGCGAATAGCAATGGGGAGGGATAGTACTAAGGAACTGTGAGCGGAGGCATCTGCGCTGGGGCACAGAAAAAAAGCCACAAATTAAAAGCAACTAGCCTATAAAGGATCCAGCCCTACCACCACCAAATAGGAGAGCAGCAAGAATTCTGCACTGGAGGTGCTTGTAAGCACCACTGTTTACTTTCCCTCTCCACCTTATTAGCATGGACAGGAATAGGGTCCAGGCACCCTAGCTAGCCTGTTGACTCCATGATCCCCTGGCCTCTAGCCCACACAAGACCAAGCCATGCAAATAAGGCAGCCTCCAGCATGCCACACACCAAGACACCCCTGCTCAGCACTCACTACACCTACCCATCCTGCCAAGGTGACACAGGCACAAAACATTGTGGAACACTCCAGGCACATGCTTTTTTATCTAATTCTTGCTATGTTTGATACCCGCAGCTCAAGAGAGTTTCAGGACTTACCTGCACAGAGCATCCCAGGAACCCCCGGTCTGTACCCTGCCTCAGCTGTAGCCACCTGACCAGGGCAAACCCTGCACCAAATGCTCTGAGACAACCTAACCCACACCAGCCAGAGCTCTAGTTGCCCTGCCAGAGCATCCCATGAACTAAGCATTCCAGGATACCCCAGCATGCACGCAGTTCAGATACAGCTCTCCTGTCAGGGCACCCACTGTATGGAGCACCCCAGGATGCCCCAGACTATGCTACACCATGACTCCAGCCACCCCACTAGGGCAGCCCCTGCACAGGGTGCTCAGGACACCCCAGCCTGCACCTCTCTTTGCCTCCACCTAACCCACTAGGTGCCTTCCATGCAGAGAACCCCAGCACACAGTTTGCACCAACTTTGGCTTTAGCTATCCTGCCAGGGCACCCTCTGCATGAGAGTTACAGGAATACCCTGGCCTATGCCCACTACAGCTCTAGTCATCCCATTAGGGAAGCCCCAGCATGAGTGCCCCAGGACCACCAAGTTCATGCCAGCCACAACTCTAACCAGCCAGTCACTGACACAGTCTACATAGATGACCATACACAAGACCATTCCTTCAATGTTAGAAGTAGCTGTGCTGCCTAATTCATAGGAATAAACACAAGGGCAATGGGAGGAGACAAAGGGATATGCTCCAAATAAAATAAGACAAAAGCTCAGAAAATGAACTAGATGAAATGGAGATAACCAATCTACCTGATAAAGAATTAAAAGTAATGGTCAGAAAGAAGCTCACCAGACTACAGAGGAGCGGGAAAGAACTCAGTGAAAATGTCAACAGAGAAACTATAAAAAAAGCATCAGAGTTAGGAATATAATAAGTGAGTGATTTATTCATTTATTTTAGAGACAGAGCACACGAGCAGGAGCAGAGGGAGAATCTCAAGCAAACTCCCTACTGAGCGTGGAACCCAACAAGGGGCTTGATCTCACAACCATGCCCTGAGCTGAAATCAAGAGTCAGATGCTCAACTGACTGAGCCACTCAGGTGCTCCAACAGTGTCTTTAAAATGACATGTTAGACCAGTTGGACATAATACAGAACATTCCATCCAAAAACAAGATTACAGAGTCCTTTCAAGTGCACATGGGACATTCTGCAGAATAGATCATAGGCTAAACCACAATGCAAGGCTCAATAATTTTAAGAATGAAATAATATGCATCTTTTCTGACCACAATGGTATGAAACTAGAAATCAATAACAAGAAACAAAAATGGAAAACACAAATACCTGGAGGTTAAATAAAACACTACTACATGACCAATGGGTCAATGAAGTATTCACAGAGAAAATTTTAAAAATACTTGGAGACTAATGTAAATGAAAACACAACAGTTAAAAATCTTAGAATAGCTTTCACTGTGTCCCAAAGAGGGAAATTTATAATGATACAGGACTACTTCCAGAAACAAAAATCTCAATCTAATTTATATCTAAATGAACTAGAAAAAGAGCGAACAAAACCCAATGTTAGAAGGAAGGGAATAATAATGATCAGAACAGAAATAAATGGAATAGAGACTAAAATAGATCAAAACCAAGAGCTAGTTCTTGAAAAGATAAAATTGATAGAAAATTAGACTTATCAAGAAAAAAGAGGACACAAAAATAGAATAAGAAATGAAAGAGAAGTAACAACTGACACCACAGAAATAAAAAGAATTATAAGAATACTATGAAAAACTGTATGCCAAAAAAGTAGACAACTTGGAAGAAATGGATAAATTCCTAGAAACCTAGAATCTTCCAAAACCAAATCTGGAAGAAAGAAAATCTGTCAGACCAATTACTAGTAAGGAAACTGAATTGGTAATGGAAAAAACAAAAACAAAAAAAACAAAAGTCCAGGACCAGACAGATTCACAAATGAATTCCACCAAACATTTAAAGAAGAGTGAATACCTATTGTTCGCAAACTATTCCAAAAAATAAAAGAGGAAAGTTCACAAATACATTCTATGGAACTAGCATTGCCCTGATATCAAAATCAGACACTATTAAAAAAAAGAAAAAAAAGCTTTTCAGCCAGTATCCCTGATGAACAAAAATACAAAAATCATCAACAAAAGATTAGCCAGCTGCATTCAACAATACATTAAAAGAACCATTCACCGCAATCAACTGAGATTTATTTGGAGGATACAAGAACAGTTCAATCTTTGTAAATCAATCAACACAATATGTCACATTAACAAATGATAAGTATTGTGATCATCTCAATAGATACAGAAAAAGCATTTGACAAAATTTATATGTTTCTGATAAAAATTCTTAATATTAGTGGATTTAGAGGGAACATATCTCAGTTTAATGAAGGAAAACATGGAAACCCACAGCTAAGATCTTAGTCAATGAGGATAAACAGAGCTTTTCCTCTGAGCCGGAAT